CAGCAAAGACCAAAAATTTTATGAGCGTGGAATTATGCTACTACCAGAAAGATGGCAAAAGGTGTTGGACCAGAACGGTCAATATATAATTTAATAAAGTATTTGTTTATTATAGGAAAACTGTCTTTCATTTCCACAAAAAAAAACGAAATGACTTTCCGAACAACCATATACAAGCAGTAACACTTTAAAAGGTATGTTCTTTCACTATTTTCACTGTTTTTTCAGTCTGAAGATGTAGAACAAACAAAATAGCTTAAAACCCCAACGCTAAAACACGACACTTTAGTTGTCCGAAGTGAACTGTTCACTTCAGTCCCTGAAGAAGGTAACCTTGTACTCTTCTACGTACAAAAATTTTCTCTTAATGTGTGCTTTTTGTGTTTTCTAAGTGAAAAATACCCTATCTGATAAATTTTATTTAATAACCATGNTCGTATGATTAGTAAAGCAGCGTGATTTAGCGTCAAAAACCGCAATTGAGGTATTACCAAGGTGTGTTATCTTTTTTCTATAGGTCGTTTACCAATAGTTCTGTCCTCCTATTAAAAACAATTATTTACATATGCACACAGTACAATATTTCTGTGTCGCGTAAAAACGTTCGGCATTTGGCGTACTTCATTTGCAGCGATCATGCACGTCGTGCAAATCATTAGCGTTCTTCACTGACGTTTGATACACGCACTGTTCGGGCAATCCGATACAAAGAAGTCAAGGGGATTTAGATCAAGACCAAGCCACAGGGCCAGTAGGTCCAATCCAGCATCTAGGAAATTGTTTATCTGGAAAGTCATGCGTTGTTCAATGCAATAATACTATTCTGCACTGACATACGACATTGACACACTGCTAATGTCTAACTAATTACATAGGTGCCAGCTTATAACGTTAAAAGAACAAAAAATCACTTAAAGCTAGCTGAAAAATATACATCAGCAATCACACTTAATCTAATCAAACAATGCACGAGCACAAAAATACATAAACCTTCATATACCTTTTTCTCGAAAATGGTTGACTTTCTAAAATATACTAAATTTTTTTGTTTTATAGTGCCCTATCACCTCCT